ATATATATATATATATATATATATATATAAATCGATTATATTTAGAGCAATACTACCTTTATTGCACTGTTGAGGAAATCTATCTTTCGTATGAAAATGCATGAAAAAGAGATTCTTTGGTTGATCTCATCAGAAGACGACGGCTGAATCCCGTTGTACTGCTACCTTTTGACCTTAATAAGACGTTCAGGTTGGCACAATCCAAGAGGCATCCTCCCTTGCTATGGGTTAAAACGCACTGAGCTTTCTTCCTTCATCTGATGGATATCATCAGAACTGGAACTCATTTCTGTAAAAATCTCACGTTAACACTGTCAAGAAAAATCTCTTCTTCATACCCTTAAATATGAAGTGAAAGTCCCCCAAACAACGTTATATCAAAAGATTCATTAGAACTCAGTTAATCTTCTTATCTACAGAAAAAATTTAATTAGGGAATGCTATATTTGCCCGAAGCGAGGGAGGATGTCTTGCGGACTGCGTCAACCTGAACGTAGTATTAAAGCCAACGGCTGCAGTACAGCGGGATTCAGCCGTCTTCTGGCTAAATCAACTTAGAAATCTCTTCTTCATGCACTTTCATGCGAAATTAAGGTATCCTCAACAATGTTATCTCAGTAGATCAATCAAAACCCGTTACTCTTCATATCTATAACTTTGTTATAAACACTATCTCCTCCCAATCCTTTTTATTTTTCACTACAAACATCCGGTTGTACAGCTTGAAGGTGGCACGCCCACACCCGAGATGACTAGTCCAGAATGCAAAGGTGACGCCAACGGTCCATCTAATGAGCAAACAAACATGCGACACACACCTGGCATAGGCGACGGAAGTAAAGTTGGCCTCTTTGCCTTTACTACAGACACTTTGTCTAGCCAGATTAGTGGCAATTGCCAGGCCCAGTCGCCCGGTTACAGGCTATTACCACATGGCATCACTACAAAGGCGCATGTCACATGGCCTTGTTAGTTCATATTTTATCTTTTTCTTTCTACCTGATATTCTATATCAAAGTTCTTTCCTTAAAAGAAATACCTATAATTTTTTTTTGAATACATCAATAAAAAATACGAGTCCCATTGGGATTTTAGCCCTCTTGCAGCAAGAAAATTTGTGATATTTTCTGAATTATATTATACAATGTAACTACGATCAATAATATAGTGGGATATTCGCATACTTCCTTACGGAAGCTCTTACGATCTGAAAAACTTTTTATATATGAAGGTTGTGTAATTTCGATCATAAATTTGAGGATATAATCTTGATTCCAAGGGATTGATTTGGAAATTTTATTATATCTTAGTTCTGATGAAGAAACCAGGAAAGTGATTGAGATTTTTTCTAATTCACACGGATAAAAAATCCCTCATTGCAATATTTAACTTAACTAAATAATCGAAATCCACAGTAAAAAGATATACAGCATTTATTTTCTTCCGATTATAGATGCGTTGGCTCCATGGGGATGTAGTAATTTTGCCGCTCATCTTCACTACTGCGCCATTCGTAACCATCCTTACTTTGCTTACTTCGTCTGGCAAGGACTTCCTCAAGTCTAAATTATTACCTCATTCCGCCTCATTGCACTATTTTAAGTTAATCTTAGGCCTTAGACTATTTAACTAACCCTTGAGATGTTCCATTCAGCATACAAACTCTTAAGGCAAATTAATTCAATTGATGTCGTAAATATGTGATGACTCATGCCTAAAATGTCTCCATAGGGAGATCTGGATCTAAAAATCATGACTATGTCACATTGTACATAGTCTTTATCGCAATTTGTATTCACATACTGCTTATTCACCTCATATTTCCGACTTATAGACTTCGACAGGCCATTTGATTGCTCTTCATTCTTCAGTTGAGGTTAATTCAGCAGTCGCCTGCATGCTCTTACCTCCATTTTATTTATTCTCTTAGCAACCTAAAATTGAACATTGCATCGTCTTTAAATTTTGACTACTTTTTTTCACCTGAAAGTGCCTAGCTTTCATGTAAGCAAAATGAAATATGCATCCCCTTTGTTACCTAGGCAAGATTAATAGTTTTTCGTATGTGGAAATTGGAATGCTAAAATGCCTGGGATCAGACATGTTTTTTTACTTACTTTGCCTAAAGATGCGCAATCTGTCGAGTATCCCTGTTGTACAATGTAGTTTTTTTCACGGTCTACAGGCATGTAAGTTGCATATATATGCAGCTTGTATGTTTTGAATTTACGCCACACCAAGCGTTTTATCTTCTGCTTTAAGCTATTTCTACTGCCAAATACCTAGAAATTAATTTGTTTGTTTTCTCTGATGGCATTCTTATTGGCAAATGGTATGGAGTCTGAGTTGAACTTGTAGGCTGCCTTTAGATAATTGAAAGCGTAAATATATTTATATGACCAAATCAACCTAACGAATATCTCTGATTCAATTATTTTTTTAGATCTA